CGGGCCGTCGGGGGGGGGCTGCTGGAGGGCGGGGGGTTTGTGGGGGGAAAGGAAAACCGGGGGGTGGGGGGAAGAGCTGGTGCCAGGAGTGGTGGGTATTCAGATGCCGGGAGCTGTGATGCAGGGAGTATGAGGATAAATGGGTAAGGATAAAGATAAAGACGAGGGAGGAGGGTTTTCAAGGATGGAGACCCAGGGACAAGGGGTGGCGAAAGACGGGTGCCACTTCAGCTGGAACCGCTGCGGGACCGCTGTGCTCCCAGCCGCGTCGGCAGCGAGCCCAGTTCATCAACATACAGGCCCCGCCCCTTCATTTGCATGGACCCGCCTGCCTCCCAGCCGAACACGCTGCTTTATCTGCATAAGCCCCGCCTGCGGAAGGCTCAGGAACTTAAAACAATCAGAGTGCCTTGGTAAGAACATCCCGTTTTAGGAACGTGGCTCTCACTTTCTGTGCTTGAAGCATGTCAACTTTCCTCCAGGTCAGTGGCACGCAGTCCAGAGGGGCTTTTTTGTCCCCCAGAAAACAAGGTTCGGAGACAAAGCAGGATGTGTGTGCTATATCTAGCAAGTGGCTGCAAACGATGCTGCTAAAATCCTAAAATGCAACAAAGAATTATCCAGCTGATAAGATGCGAGCAGTAAAACAGCGGAGAAATCTGCTAGGAAAACCTCTTTATAGGCTTCAGGGATGTGTGCCTACCCTAATTCTCATCTTTGTGGGAGTCACACTGGGAGGGGCCACAGAAACTCAACACTCAGGCAGCAGAGGGTGACAAAAAGTTTATTCTGTGTTTCTCAGAGTCAAGCAGGGGATAAAACTGTCACGGACTCCTTTGGGCATCATTCTTATGACCTGAAGGCAGTAGTGGGTGGTGGACCTTCAGGGTGAAGCTCTTGGGGAGGACAGGGAGGTGGAAGGGGTCACAGTGCCACAAGTCACAACGGTCCAGGGTCCAGACAGTCACAGATTCTTCTGAGGGGTGAGGTAGATGTTTCAGCCCGCTCGGGCAGAGAAGAAGGGCAAAGATCGGACATAGGAATCTAGCCGGGAGCGGAAGAGCTCACTTTGCACAGTCTGTCCCAGTGGGCACAGAGGATTCTTCACGACCAACTCCACATACAGCTGTGGAGAGGATAGTGTGTGAGCCAGATTTGGGACACTTCTCAGTTTCAATCTCAAACCTGGTATAACCTCAAGGATGTAAGTATACACAAAGGGGGTGGGGTGGGAGAGATGGCTCAGCAGTTAAGAAAGCACACTGCTTTTGCAGAGGATAGTCAGTGCCCAGCACCCAGGTTGAGTGGTTCACAACAGCCTGTGATCCCAGCTCCAGAGAATCTGTCACTCTCTTCTGCCCTCCACAGACACCTATACTCACATGCACACACCCCCTCTAAACAATACATATAATTAAAATTAAACCATTAAAGTCCACTCAACCTACCCTCAGGAAAAGCTATTACTGTTCAAGGAGCTGAAGGCTCTGGAGAAAACTGAGTTCAATAGGGATATAATACTGAAGGACTAGGGCAGAAAACTTGAGGGACTCCTAGGGCTCTGGGAGGAGGGCTCCCGGCTGACACTGACCGCACTGTAGATGTGGTGTAGCACATCTCGGATAGGACCCACGCCCAAGTCAGTATTCATGACAACCTTGATTCCAGTGGGCGTTTCGTAGTAATGGAGTTTGTGTTGGCTAGTTTGGAAAGACAGAAAGCCATCCTTCCTGCAGAAATGGGTATTGAAACAGGAGTGGGATCATTCCCAAAGAAATATTTGTGATACCCTCAAGGTCAACTCCTTCCTATTCATATAAACAGATGGTCTGTGCCAGTCTCATTGAATAAATAAAAACACCTACCATCATCTCTACCCCTCGACTTAGTTACTGATGGCTTCACCCGCCCTACTCTCGGTACTCTCCCTGCAGCCAGCCCCTCCAGCTAGCTTCATAACTTTTGTTCCAAATTCAGCCTCTCTCTCTTATGTCTCCCTCCCCTCTCTGGGGCCACATGCCAAAACTATATCTCCCACTCCCAAGGCTAGTTAGCCCTCCCTTCAGCATCCCCTCTAACACGACCGTACATGTCTAGCGGGGACATCTTGCTGACAAACGAACGAATGGAGAAGAGCATCCCATACATCAGCTTGTACTCCTAGAGGGAGAAGGGGTAGAGTTAGGTCTCGGTTATGGAATGAGACAGGATGGGAGTGAGAAGGAACCGGGATTTGGAGAGGAAGGACTGGGCTGAATCTATGTGCGTTTGGGGGTATGCCGGGACCCTCTAATCACCTCTTCCTTAGGGATCCCCGCTTGCTTCTTGCGGTGCCACTCGCTGTAGTGTAGACACACTCCATTCCGGTCAAATAGGTACAGATTGTGGACCATCATCTGCAAGATAAAGAGCCTCGATCGATGGCATGCACCCGACTCTGTAGAACCGGGTTCTTCAGTTAGGTGAGATCCCCAGCCTCAAACTCACCGGAATTGCTGCGAGTGAGGGTGACA